ATATTTGGTATGTCTTCCATATTCAGGAAGCTCGGGTAATTTAACTTTTTAAGTCTCTTGGTGTATTCTCCACACCCTTTTCCCAACAACACCCAGTCCTACAGCCCTCCCCTACCCAGGGAAGTCAGTGATTCATCTGATGGTAATTGGGGATAAATAAACTGGGCCTACTTGGCTTAATTTCCCCTTGGGAAGCCAGCACGTCTCTTGGATAACTCACTCCATAGCAGGATTTTATAGTTTGGGGAGTATCTCAAACCCAACATGTGGTGTTTGTGCTTTGAACACTGGAAAATAACATTGGAAATAGAATTTGTCAACCATGTCAAGAGGATTCTCCAGGGGCTTTCGGACTACGTAGTTGTTGGACTATGGACTTGGATGTGTGGGTAGAGAATGCCCTTGGTGATTCGGAAACTCTTATTTATACCATGCCCAAGGGTTTTCACTTTTGAGTGTCTAGAGTATACCTGTTGCAGCTTGACCTTGACAGCTGATTATTCCTTTCATGGCCATTTTGTCCACAGGCCAGAGACTGTTGTAGAGGCAGGACTGTGCACCTGGGCAGCTCCACACAAATCTTTGGGGCATACAGGCCGCAGCAGAGCAAGGAGCAGGGAGGACCTGGGCTGGGCTGAGGAGGTACAGTTCACATTTCAGGAAAGGTGTGTGTGCTAGACCTTTGCCAGCCAATGGTCCAGGCTTTAAAACCATCCCCACTCCCTCCACCCACACACCCAGGTCTCTTACCCCTTAGGCACACCTGAGGCAAAAATTCAAGTCTAAAGAAAGTATCATCATTCCATACCAGACAGTGGAAGGCAGAACATGGTTTTACTGCTTTCAGTGCAAAACTGCTGAGTCCAGCCTGGGCTAGGGAACACTGGGAGATAACATCCATGGGTTGAAATTGTTTGTTCACATCTCCAGAAAGGCAGGACTTGCTCGGCTATTCCAAGTTCTGCTTTGAATCAAGAACCAAGATAGAAGCTTCGGAAGGTCGGATGTTGAATTTATGAGGTTTGTACCCAAGATCAAGAGTGGAAAGTATTTAACACACTGAGCGTGTTCCAAGGTGATCCTGTGGTTGTAGGCGGCATGCAGGCGCTCTGAAGGAATACGCCTGAGAAAATGTCCAGAATTCAACAGCACGGAACAAAAGGTCCTGGGAGCAGATACTAGTTCTCACTGGATTCTTCTGAGGGCCTGGTTCCCAATTGCAACTGCACACTGTAATCACCAGTTAATCAAGACTCTCTAGGGGTAGGACCCAGGCATTGGTACTGACACCCTGACTTTACAAAAAGTAGGTAAAACTATGTGACCTTGAGCTTGGTTCTGAGAGCTGAAGTACTGGGTTCTAAGTCCGGCAGTGAATCTGGCTCTGTGTGATGGCATCTACTAAATAAATGATGGTGCCGGCAACCACTTCCTCTCTTACATCCTTTCCCTAGGATGTTTGGACAGTTGCATAAAGAAGTTTAATTATCTCATCAACATTGTTTCATAACAATAGACAATCCAACACTGCAATTTATTTCAGCAATCTCACAAAAGTCTATGTGGACAGAGGTTTTTTTTGTTTTTGAATCTTAGTGGTCTCATAAATCCCAACATTGCTCCTTCTGTTTCCTCTCCACTGACTAAAAAATACAAGTGTCTCATTCTTTAACCAGGACACATTGCTACCATTTAACCATAAAGGTATAGGATAATTACATATGAGAGCAATCTGGGTGGTAGGAAAACTAGAATTTCTGCTTTATAGTTGTCAAATATATGCCCTTGCCAAGATACTTTAAGATTTTATTTTTTATGGCTGGATGCTTCCCAGGAAAGGAAGTTGGTTCTTCCATCTGAAACTTGCTCTTTCTATCTAAGGATTTCTAGGTCTTTAGATCTATAAAAGGTACTTTTCAAAGTGCAGAATTTTAAACCGCTGAGGGATCATTAATGAGGATAAAGAAGGCATTGGGGGTTTAGCTAGCATCGCACAGAGCCAGGCTCGCAGCCTGGCTTACAACCCATGGCTCTGTCTTGCAGAACCATGAGAAGCTGCTTTTCCCAGTTTGGCAAGTACTCACCTCATCCTACTGCGCGTTATACACATTTGATACTCAGGTCATTTCAGAGCACTTAGTGGGCTTAGTTTGCTTGACTTGCCTGTCTCTATAGTGAGCAACTTTTTCGGTTATGTATTAAAAACACAAGCCCAGTTGCCTGTTATTATAGCTTCCAGTTATTATGAACTAACCAACAATTTCTTACTTGTTTCTTACATTCCTAACCATTTTCATCTCAAATTTTGCCATGAACCCTAACCTGTTTCAAAAATCACAATTTCTTCAGAGAACAACATGTTCTACTGGAATTATTTGAAATCGTGTCACAAATTGCTCTTGGAGCTGTGGTGAGCCAGGTGCAATGTCATGTTCGCCTAGTTAGTTACTGCTCTTGGCTTTGCCACAACTGATGCTCAGATTGTATTAAGTAGACATGACTTATTTGGGTCTCACCTCGCCAGCAGAGCAGGCAGAGCTGTCTCTCCACTCGATGTGATGCGTGCTCTTTAACATGCTGGTTCCCAGATTAAATCCCCTTTCAATTACTGTCTGTCATCCGATGTGGCTCAGTTTCTGGCCCATTATCCCTTCCATGTCTCTTTGGTTCCATTGCTTAACATGAGCACTGGACAGCCCTGGAAAGAGCTTCTGAGCCAAAGATTTATCTAATTTTGTGGAAGAGTTTGTACCAAAATTTATTTTAAAAATTCAAAGCTTTGAAGATGAAGTCCTTGACAGCCCTAAACTTTTTGCAAAGGGTAAAGAAACTTCATAATTAAAACCAAAACTAGAGAAGTATTTAAATTCTAATGTTAATTCTACTTACTCTTGCAATAATGATATTATAGCTATTAACACTTGTTGAGTACTAACTCTATGTTCCAAATATTGTGCATGGATTGGTTTATTTAATCCCACAACAGCCTTACAAAGACTTTTTTAAAATCTCTGAAAAGGACAAGGCAAAGAAAAAGTAATAATATGATGATCACTCAGCTACTAGGTGGTGAACCCATGATTGGAACCCAGACAAATCAGATTCCAGATTCCATAGCTCTTAATCACTACCCATCTTCTCTTTCTATTATGAAAGAAGTGGAAACTAAACAAAGTGGAAACTAAACAAAGTTCTCTCATGAAAAGTGACAGGACATTCTAATCTCTTATAGTCCATTTAATTGGTTGCTAGTTTCAGGACTTATCTACTTTAATTTATGAATGTGACCATTTTAATATCTTTAAAAATGAATTCACTATTTCTTATTCTTTCATTCACTAATCATTGATTGGGCAACCATCTGTCAGGTATCATGCAATGCATGGGTAAGAATAAAGTTAAAAATACATATTTCCTGCCACAAATTGTTCCCAATCAGAGAAAAAAATACATGAAAACACAGCCTTGCAATACAGTGTGATAAATGTGATGCTGAAGGTGTACACAAAGTGTAAGGGTGGGGGAAAGGAGACCACTACATTTGAATTTATGGTCATTTGTTAATATACGTTGATATCCAAGTGTCAATTTCAACAATCCAACAACTCTGGAAAGAATCTAAAACTATATTTTTAAAACAAATTATCTTTTTCCCCCCAGGAGATGTACTATAACGTTGCGATTTAAGAATGTAAGCTGGATTGCTGATTTAAAACCTAGGTCTATTAATTTTGGTCAACTTAACCTCCCTCAGGCTCAGTTTCATTATCTGTGAAATGAGGATAATAATTTTAGTAACAGAACTGTTGTGAGAATTGAATGTGATATATGTGAAAGCCTCAGAGCAGTACCTAACATACACTAAGCACTATATGTATTTGCTATCTATACTAATAAAAGGGTAATATGCTAATTAGATCAGGCATCTTCCGGGTGACCTTCTGGATGTCCTTCTGGAAAAAGCCACAGTGGCAGGGCAAAAGCAGAGGCCATTAGGGGCTATGAGGCCAGCAGAAGAGAGCAGTTAGGGGGATTAGGCTGGCAGGGGAGAGCAGTTAGGGAGATTAGATTGGCAGGGGAGAGCTGTTAGGGGAATCAGGCCAGCAGGGGAGAGCAGTAAGAAAGATCAGGCCAGCAGGGGAGAGCAGTTAGGGGGATCAGGCAGGCAAGGGGAGCAGTTAGGGGCAATCAGACATGCAGGCAGAGTGGTTAGGGGTGATCAGGTAGGCAGGTAAGTGAGTGGTTAAGAGCCAGTGGTCCCAGATTGTGAGAAGGATGTCTGACTGCCACTTTAGGCCTGATCCCGAGGGGTTCCAAATTAGAGAGGGTGGGTGCAGGCTGGGTTGAGGGACAACCCTTTGCCCCCACACCCTCGTATGCAAATTTTATGCACCAGACCTCTAGTTGTTATTAAAATTATTAATAAATATGTTGATAGTCAATGAAAGAGCTTTGTAAGGTAAAAATGAATGCCTTTCTACAAGTGGACCAGGTGATATTAAAAACAACATATATGTGTTGAGCTTCTAATTAATATTCTAGGTGCCATGTCAGGATGTGAAAAACAAATTCAATTCAGGAACTCAGGAAGTTTATAATAAAATGGAGTTAACAAAATACTAGCCAAAATATATTAGAATACCTGGTATTTAAATACAATGTGCTATGGGAAAATTCAGATGAGCAGAAAAATTAAATCAGTCTTGATGGATCCAGAAAAAGCTTTATTGAGGAGGTGACATTTGAAGCAGCTGTTGATTGAACCCAACAAAATGAGTACCAACGTCAGCCCAGGCACAGGGAGCAGCATGGCAAAGATATGAAGAGATAACAGAAGAACAGAAAGTGAAGACTCGTGGGTTACATATAGATGAGTGTCTGGAGATGAGCAAGGAGAAGTGAAATTTGTTCTTGTAAAAATCCTGTAATCAATTCTAATTTGGGGAGAGAGTAATGTAACAACATAACACCTGCATTTTTCAAAATATTTTTTGTGGACTTGAAGAGGGAACAAACAAGGATAGAAAAACACATCAAGAGATTATTACAACAATCCCAAAGAGGAATAATGATGGCCTGAACTAGCACAAAAGAAAGAGAGAAGATAGAAGTCTCAACAAAACAAGGTGACCAATCAAACGTGGTGGTAAAGAGATGTTTGATGTGACTCTTAGATGCCTGCTTTGAGTTAATAATTTTTAATGTTGATAATCAATATTAAAAAAGGCAGGAGGAAAAGCAGATATGCCTATGCCATCTCTATCTAGCAGCTAAAATTTTAACTCAGAAGAGCAGTCTTGAACAGGGATATGGATGTTGAAGACTTGAGTTCACTGGGGATTTGGAAATAGTTAGGATTAACAGGAATAGAAAGTAAAATAAAAAGAAGACTAAGAGTAGAATCCAGGGAAATCCCCAAATTTTAACAGTGTCCAGAAGAAAAAGAAGAAAAGGGAACAGAATACAGATTAGATATAGAAGGAGCAGCCGGAGTGATGAGTCCCTCACTTTAGCAGTCAGAAGGATGGTGAGAGAGCGGAAAGCAGATGGAAAAGGGGAACAAGAATAGGAAGCAATAGAATTGTGGAAGCTACAGGACAAGATTTTAATTAGGTTGTGGTGACAAGAGACAAAAAGAACAAGAAAAGAAGTTAGTAGTATCAATTCCTAGAAACAGGAAAAAAGAGTAAGTAAACTCTATTTTAAGTGCCCATTGTCGAGAGGGAAATAGTGGTTTATAGAGATAGGGTATAGAGATAGAAACTTAATGTGGCCAGTTTCTGAAAACCTCAGTGCTGAGCTATGGTGGGGGAGTTGAAGGAGCCAATCTGATTATTGTTCATAAGGCCCACAGTCACACAGGTAGCACCATAGGAAAGACCTCATGTCTTTTGGTCTCATGGGACTAATCCATACTTGAAGTGGAGAGCAAGACTTTTCCTCTTACATGCGTGCCACAGCTGGGTCATGTTGCTATTTGGAACACTTCCGTGCCTGCTCTAGACATAGCTGTCATTCCTTCCTGAGGGCTTGCTGCCTCACAGGTGTGTAGTCAAGAAGTCTTACTTCACACACACACACACACACACACACACAGAGAGAGAGAGAGAGAGAGAGAGAGAGAGAGTCCCACATTTTGTCCTCTCATTCTCTCTTGACCACAGTTTGGGTCTGGGAGATACATATTCTAAGTTGGTAATGGATCAGCAATGCCCCAACCTCTCTGTATCACTTCTCCCAAATATTTGGCTACTCCCCAAATTATCAAATATCTCTGAGCAGGACATACAAACTTGAATGTGTACAACAGCCGCACAGGTGACATAGATGAATGAGAGGCCCATGGTGGCCATGCCAAACTAGAGCTGTAGCAGCCCGTTCAAGGGGCAGGCATTGTAGAGATCTAGCTAATTCCTCTCCATGGATATGCTGTGCCTGGTCTCCCAGAGTTTTATATTAAGTATCCCAATTTTAAGTGCCAGGAACTACTTAAAACATGCTACACACTTCGAAGCAATGCAGGACACCTCTGAAAGCAAATGCAACCCAAATCTCTGAAATCAAATGCAGCCCAAATCCCAGGGGTTTAAGACAACTGCCTCAAAATTTTAAGTTCTCAAATGCAAAAGCTAGAAGCACTGCTGATTATTTCTGATTTCCCCTCTTTCCCTTCCTCCTTGAGGGTCCCTACTACCTGCTTGGAGCCTGTGGAAGTTTAAGGGTGGTGGCGAGACAGAAAAGAGAGAAAGACCAGCATAAAAGTGTATAGCTTAGTATGTCAAAAGTAGTGTGCAGCAACACGAGATAAAGAAGAATTCAAGCCAAAAATGGGCAGAAAACTAACATTTATTGCACATTTTTATATAACCAATAACATACATGTGTTATCTCACTCATGCTTATAATGTTCCTCAGTAAGGATGAATCATTATCCTCAATTTACAGGTGAATAACTGAGCTTCAAAGGGATTAAGCAACTTGGCTGTGGTTACACAATGATGGAGCTGGAATTTAAACTCAGATATTTCTTATTCCAAAAGTCGTGATCCTATTCAAACTGCTTTCCAAGTGACTGAGTGCTCACATAATGAGAAATGTGGGTTTTGCTAATATAAAATATGAATGTGTTCAGGGCCATCTGTTTCTCCCCAGTCCAATACCATTACCATTTTCCTTGGGGAATAATATATGCTTTGGGAGTTGGCCCCCGTCACTGCTCCAATGACAGTAGCTCCTATTTCATTCTATCCAAGCTCTTCCTCCAAATCTCTTTGTTCTTTCGTACTTGTAAATTGCCTCATCAATACTGTTGCTTAAAATGGATTTTTCTTTACACATATCCCCAATCCTATGCTAAATTTTAGTATAATTTTTGTTACAGATGAAACTAGAATCATTAATTCTAGAATTTTTTTAAAACAAACAAACAAAAAACAACAACACAAAACAATAAAAATAAACATATGTAACTACTTTACACACCCACCCATGGAAGATAGCACTTCTATTCAAAATTGCACTAAAAGTCTTAGTCAATGAAATAAATCAAGAAAAAAAAGAAATAAAAAATGTGTAATTATTGGAAAGGAAGAAATAAAGCAGTATTAGGTCCCAGGTTCGATTCCGGGTTTGATTCCAGTCCAGGGTATGTACCTTAGCTGTGGGCACATCCCAAGTGGGGGGTGTGCAGGAGGCAGCTGACCGATGTTTCTCCCTCATCAATGTTTCTAACTCTCTATCCCTCTCTCTTCCTCTCTGTAAAAAAATCAATAAAATATATTTTAAAAAAAGAAAATACACAATATAATCTAAGATAAATTATTAAAATTATTAGTAAGTTTAGCAAGGTTACTAGATTCAAAATCAACACACAAAAATTGTGTTTTTTAATATGTTTTTATTTATTTAAGAGAGGAAAGGAGAAAGAGAGATAGATAGAAACATCAATGATGACAGAGAATCATTAATCAGTCACCTTCTGCATGCCCTACACTGGGGATTGAGCCCACAACCTGGGCATGTACCCTGACTGGGAACCAAAACATGACCTCCTGGTTCAAAGGTCAACACCCAACCACTAAGCCATGCTGGCCAGGTCAAAAATTGTATTTCTATATACATTTATTTCTCCTAAGGATGTTTTATAACTTTTGTATTAAAAGGCTTGCATTATTCATTATATTTATTATTAAGTATTTAACATTTCATGATTTTTTGTAAATGATTTTTTAAAAATTCTCACTTGTACTATAATATTTATAGTTGATATAAAAACAATTTTGCCTGTGGTGACATTGAATCCAGCAACTTTGCTAAACTTATTTATTAATTTAGACAATTAAAATATTTTCTAACAGAAAATGCTAAGACATTATTATAAACAATTAAAGGAATCTAAATAATAGGATAGCTATACCATCAATGGATAGGGAGACTCAATGTTGTAAATATGTAATCTACAGATTCAAAATAAAAATTCTGAGTGTGAGTGTGTGTGTGTGTGCGCGCGCGCGCGCGCATATGAGCACAAATTGACAAGCTACTTCTAGAATTTCTATAGAAACATGAGGGCTAAGAGTCACTACATCACTGAACAATAAAGTGAGAGAGCTTATTCTATAAGCCTTATAATACTCAACAGCAGGGTATTGCCCCAAAGATAGAACAAAACAGTTCAAAAGCAGACCTTGAGGTAGTTTGGGACAATATCCCACCTTTGCCGGTGGCTCATTGTGTTTGTCTAGTACAGAACTAACTCTCCAAGGAAGGTGCTTAAGAATGGTTTGTATTGTTACCCGACACCGCCAGCTCAGTGTGCTTTTCGGTCAGAGCTAAAGAAGTTACAGTTTTTTAATTGTTCACAGTTCAATTAGGTGACTCATGTTCAATTTAGAAGACAGGCATTAGAGAGGGTCTCTTTGATAAAATATGATAAAATTCTACTCTAATGCTCTATGTGGGGTTCAATAAATTTAGTCGCTTAAATGATGCTCTTACGTTATTGAAAGATTAACTAAAAATGGGAGCAGCCTGCTGCTGCGGAAGATTCACTAATGGCGGGTATAGGATGTGTGTGCGCTAGCTGTGTTAAAAAGCAGTTTCACTACAGGGGATGAGGATGAAGAAAACATTTTAGTTGGGCTCATTATATACCCATAAATATCAGCGATGTCTCAGTAACAGAGACAAAGAAAGGAAGGGTATTGAATAGACCATTAATTATTTCTACCTCAGGAGGGATTGTGAGAGATCACACAGGATGGTATAGCCATGGGGAAGCAGGAAAATAGACAGATTTGAGAAGCATTTGTCAAAATGTAATATATATTTAATATATATCTAAATGAGTGCAATTGTACAATCTTAAACATATTGGAGATCATTTCTACATTTCCCTTAATTAGAAGAAACATTTCTGCCTACATGGAGTTATCCATTTGACCACAATTTCTTTTTATTTTGTTCTTGCTGTGTTCTCAAGTAATTTAATAAAATATAATAGATATTTTTTAATATTGTGGTTTGTTCTGGGAAGCATGAAGGTAAAATATGAGCTAACTCTTAAATCTGATTTTAATATCCTTCCCTTGCAATCACCTTTAGTACCAAAGATCAAAATTAAGACTTCAATAAAATATCATAAGCAAGTATCTTCTAGGTAAAATTTCTCATGTGGAGTTGATGAGACTTAAGTGAGTTGCAAAGATTTCACAGTCATCAGATCGGAGCCTGGCCGAAAATGACCCCTGACCCCAAAGCAGTTTCCTCTCCATGACCACAGGCCCCTCCTGCCCCGGGGCAAGAGGCTAAGAATCAGACGTGATTCTCTAAAGCAGGGTTTCCTAAGCACAACAATGGGCATTTTGGACCATATAATTCTTTGTTATGGAGGCACATTCCCGTGCATTGTAGGATGTTTAGCAACATCCTGGTCTCTACCCACTAAAGGCCAGTAACATTTCCCCTCCACACCAGTTGTGGCAATCAAAGTGTCTTCAGACATTGCCAAATATCCTGAGAGGCAAATGGCTCCCAGTTAGGAACTGAACTAGCTATATAACCTATCTTTCTATCTATCTCTCTCCCTTCCTCTCTGAAATCAATAAAAAATATATATTAAAAATAGTACTAATCTAACAGTGTCATTTTGGATTAAATGAGTGACCCCCATGCAGAATACCTAGAATTGTTTAAGCATATAATAAGCTCTCAATAAATCTAGCGCTAAAGTATTATTTTTAGCTACAGACTGGGTACAATTGAGTACCCATTATGTGCCAAGCACTCCAATAGGTACTGGGGACATAATGGCAAATAAGAAATAACCAATGACTTTAAAGACTTACAGTATACTAACAGAGGCAACACAGAAACAGGTAATTATAATAAAATATGGAAAACTTATTAGCAGACATGTCAAGGGAAAGCCAAACAATGATTCTCAGCCAAGGCTTGGGAGACAGGAGTCGAGGTTGGAGTCCCAGTTTTGCCAGTTACTAATGATTTGGCTCTGGGCTTAGAGCTCTAATTCTCCATTTTCTCACCAGCAAAATGATGAAAATAATAGATAGTATTTGCCTCATAAGAATGTGGTGAGAAGAAATAAGGTAATAAAAGTACAATGTCTGGGACATGGCCTCTGCTCAGAGAAGGATCGTTACCTTTAGCATCAATCGGGGAGCACAGAATCAGGCTGTGTAACCCAGCCAGCGCTCCTCCAAGTTTGCCCTTCCTTGCTGGTCACTCACATCTACTTGACAATGACTGCCTTTCCTCCTCTTTTTCCTCCTCAGAAGAGGAGCACAGATACAGACTTAAAGACATGCAAGAATGTTTATAGCAGCTTTATTCATAATAATGCCGAATTGGAAGCAAATCCAACAATGCCCGTCAACGGGAGGATGGATAAGAACATTGTGATATATAGTCCTGTACAATGAAATACTATATAACAATGAAAATTAACTGCAGTTGCATGCAACAATATGGATGAGCATCACAAACAAAATGTTGATGAGAAAGAAGCCAGAATGCATATTTCACTATTCCATTTATAGAATGTTTAAGAATAGGCAAAGTGTGTCTGTGGCCACAGAATAAATTCAGAAGAGGGATTATCTTTGGGGAGGTATTCGCTGAGAAGGGTGGTGACATACTAGTAACTGTTTAACAACTAGCTCTTGGGGGGGCGGGGGGAACTCCCCAATTGTACCGGATCCAGCCGGTATCACAGGTCCTGAAGGTATGGCTAGGAGGTTTAAGAGAAATAAAGACAAGAGAAAGCGGGGCTTCAGGGGGACTGCTAGTCCATGGTGAGACTGCAGCAGCTTTATTAGTTGCAGGCGTACATTTATGCGGCCTTTCTTGGTGTTTCTCCAAGTGCCCCTTTCCCAGGACAAGGCCGCCCGTCAGCTCCTTAAGGCGTTCTTGGAAAAGATACATAGAGTAGGCATCTGGCTAGATAGAGAACATTGAGAACAGCTTAGCTGAGAACATCCAGATAAGTCATGCATCACACGCACTCCCTAACAATGGGGCTATGGTCTGCCCTGTCCCTAGTTGACCCTGAAGGCTTAGGGGAGAGCAGGTAGGCGTCCCTACCCTGTGCTCAATCCCCTGTAGGAGAGCAGGTAGGCGTCCCTACCCTATGCTCCATCCTTGCCCTCGGGCCCCACGGAACACGGCTTCCCACAGCTCCCCCTTTTTAATTTATTACAACTTAAGCGGAATGCTGTCTTTCTCTTGATGAAGCTGAAGCAGGCGGATATCCATGGCTAACTTGTATATTTGCTTACAGATTAATCTTATACAGAAAGGCAACAACGTGCATAAAAGTACCAGGAAACTTGCTACTGCAATTAGGCCTATTACTCCATGAAGGAAAGCACTTGTTGGGAAGTTGTCCCGTAGCCGGGATACAAACTCCGAGGCTTCTCTGGCTATATCTATATCAAGCTTTGGTGCGTTCAGCAAATTTTGGATTTCTCCATGCAACATTCGCAAATCAAGGGAGGTGTTTGCATCATGCCATATACCCTGAAGATGCCTTTTGACATTTTCCCATGGAAACCTAGAATCATTATATTCTTTTGGGGTTATGCAAATCCATGAGAATGCGGCATGGCATCCTAGAGAGCTTTTCACCTCCAAGCTTACAATCTCATCGCCTAGGATTTGTACAACATCATAGAGAGCGTTCACCCTTTGCTCTATTTTCCTGTCCCAGTCCTCTTGGGCTTGTAGTGCTTGCTTACATTGTAAGCCAGGTTGTTTACATATTCTGCTGTCTGAATGGAAGTCGTTAACAATATGGCAGATGCAGTGGCAGAAGCAATTAAAGTGATTAAGGCAGTGATACCCGCTATTAACAATCCTACAAATCTTTTCGTTCGACCTAAGGCCCTTTCTACT